TACTTTTTACTCATTGTAAGCGAGCCTTTGTCCCTGCTATAACAGATTGTGCTCCGATAAGGTCCTGTTATTGCAGATAACTTTTAATAGAGCCAATGAGTTGAAAAAAACGGGGATTTTAAAAATCCCTGTTTTTACCGGATCCCTGTTATTACTGGGCCTGTTATATAATAGTATGGTTTCCACTGTATACCTGCCTGTGTTTTACGGTCCTGTATAGCCAAGGAAAAATTCCCTCTTATCTCGATCTAGATCTCTATCTCGGTCACTATCTCGAGGGTGCATAAAACCATGGGGACAGGCCTTTAAAGACAAAAATTGGTACCAGTACTGAAAATGTTATATTGACTGGACTATGGAACTCATTCATTCAGCCCTTCTCCTCGTCAGGATCGACACAAGAATTTTGTTTCTATGATAAAAACCGGGCATAGGCATGTGCATTAAAGTCGCTGGTCAGATTAACTTTGATTGAGTGATTCTAAAAACAAACAATATCCCTCACTCCCAGCCAGGTCATCCAACTTGCTAGAGACAGGAAGTTCTTTCACCCCTCAACGCCCTAGAGGTACAAGAGGACGGGTAAAGCAAGTAAAAGTAAGATTCTAGATTTCGTCGACCAAACCAGGAGACATATATATGGGATAAAACAGGTTGAAATAACGAAGTTCTCAAAGTGAGGCTAAAAGTGGCTCGATAGATATCACTCACTGGTATTTCATGGGATTATAATATAACCTAATATAAAAACTTTTTCTTCCAGCTGTCCGGAAATTAATGGTTTTATTTTACAAAATAGACTTTTTTTAAATTGAAATTTTTAATTCAGTCTGCTCAACAGTGACCACATTCATAATAACAAATAAATATATTTTAGTATTGCTATCAGGGCCTGTAAGTTCTTCTTGTTCGATTCAGGGAGAAGATTTTAAAAGCTTGAGGGCCGGATCTGGCCGGGAGATGGAATGGGATAGGGGTGGTGGTGGGGGGTAGTTTGATAATGCCTGAAAATAAATAAGCCCACGGTATCGAGTAGCCT